CTCTTTTTAAAAGGCGGTCATTCTTCTTCCTTTTCCACTTTTAAAACCCTTCTATCCCAATACCTCTTTACAAAACAAACAGAAAATGGCCAACCACCTATTAAGTTGTATTAAGTTTCAGTGCCTTGTTTAAAAATTAATGATTTCTTTATATGTATATTTTTTTTCTCTCTTTCTCTCATGAACTTGTATATATTTTTTTCAAATTTGTCGTTTCTGTTATACAAGAACGATCATAAAGTTGCTGAATTTATTTTTTTTTTATATTTTTTTATTATGAGTTTGTTAATATGTACTAAGGTAAAATACATAAATCATTATTTTTTTACTCTACTTTGTGCTCATCTATTAGAGGGATTTATTGCTTTTCTCCCTATATATATTTTTAACCTTTTTATTTTATTTTATTTTTGTTCCATTTCTTATTTGTATAATGTATATTTCTAGCTATTTTGTACATAGTTTCTTCAGTTCAATTTTGTATATTTTGTTAGTTTCATAAGGTTTTTTTATTTATTTAATGTAAATCATTTTATTTAATTTAGTTCTTCTAGTCAGAAGTATTTCTTTTGTTCTGTAACCTTCCGTTATTCTTAGAAGACCTTGTCCCAAATTAAATTTATTTTTCTATTTATATTTCTAAAATCTTCTAAAAGCTATGTCCTAAATTACCATTAAAACTAAAAGTCTGCCAAAGAGGGCATAACAGTATAGTTTCCTCACCTCTTCTATTGGTTCCAACTAAGACTTTCTTACATTTAGTCTTCTTAAGGAATAAAGCAGACCAAAGCGAAAAAGATAGACGGAAATTGATCAAATTTATAATGGCCCATCAACTATTACAATCCTCGAAAATCAGATATGAAATGACTTTCTACATTTTCACTGTCTATTTTATTTCAATGCTATTATATTCTTACCGATTAGATATATTAATATTAATTATTTCAGGGAATTTGTTGATATTAGTAGATTATTACCTAAATTGACTTCAACATAGGGCCATACCAAATTATACTATTTAGATACATTGGTGTAACGAGAAAAATACACTTACACATCCCTGAATTACTATAGATGTTAATTCGAAAAATCATTACATTTCATACAAAAATGTCTCCCAATTTTGATCAGTGAAACGTCTTCACCATTTGTATTGGTTACTAATTAGGTATATTTCAAGGTCTATATTAGTAGTTCGGAAATAAAATAGAAACTATTTTCTCTACCCGCTAGGGTCATTGGCAATCGTCAATTCACTCACACTTTTCATATTCTATTATAAAATCCAATAGTGTTCAAGAAGTCCAGTAAGATTTTCACTTCTCTTTCCGCATCCTGCAACACGTCCCTGATAGTCTCATGCATGTTTAGATTCGGATAACTGCATAATGTGTGCAATCCACCAGTATGTGGTTCACAGTTCTAAGAGAACCATAAATAGAAACTAATAAGCCGTTTCTGAATTATAAGTTTGTCGAAAAAAAAATCTATGCCTTAGTAGAAGAAATAAGCGCATTTTGAAAAAACCTTTGTTGAACCAGATATGTATTAACTCTCGTCACATGGATACAACTAAAGAACGATAGTGAAAACATAAATAACCTCCACAGGAAACATAATACGTTCATTTTATACCACATTTCATAACCATTAGATTCTTTAAAAGTATTTACGTTATTTTCAATTGTTGAATGAAATTTGGTATATTTGATATTAGATTATTTGAACTTTTCCTCCCACATTTCATCCAACTTTGAGGCAAACTAACAAATATTTTTTTGAAATATTATTGTAACAAGAGGAAAAAAAGTTTGCGCAATCGTAACCGAAAGATTTTTTTTTAATTAGAGAACGAAATGTGATGAAATTTATACCTAGTTGATAATTTTTTCACTAATTCCTAACTTCCCTCCAACTTTGGACCAAATCGAGCCTGGAGGGTTTTGATGTACAGTCATATCGCACATATCGGAGAGGAAATAGAGGATGGAATCGATAAAATTGTTACTGTATCATTTTTCCCATTACCCTAATCATTTTTCTCCAACCTTGAACACAATCAAAAGTGCCATGTTTGAAATGTAGGCATGTCTAAGAAAATACATTTGCATGTGTGCACTAGCGGATGCAGGATTTAATTTGGGGGGGGAGCTTCAGCCCGAAAGTTCTTTTTGTCATAAAAATAACGATAATTACTTTGGAAAAAAAGAAAGAAGCTAACTACCTGTATGAAATGGTGTTTAAGTGATTCCTAATGCCCTTTTAAATGTAATTACACGAACAATAATACTTTAAGAGATACTTTTGTAATATTTTTTCGATAAAACGTGGTTATATTTTAGCATTTTGGGGGGGGCTTCAGCCCGAAAGCCCCCTCGTAGATCCGCCCGTGCATGTGTGTACACAAAAGTAGTGTATTTAATCCAACTGATAAGGAAGCCATTGAAATTTATTTAACTTTAGTAGGCGGAATTCTCGTCACATGATTTGATTGCAGACAAACGCAGAACCAAATTTGTTTCTTGATTTGTAAAATGTAAAAATAAGCGAAAATTTTCTTTTTCAAAGATAAAACACTTCCAGCTATCGAATTTCAAACTCTAGCATGAATACTTTCCTTCCTTAATGCGCAAGGAATTCACTTTGATCAAAATTTAATCTGAATTTAATGTTTACGTTTAATTAATAAAGTAGTTGGAACAAATAAATAAGTACTTAATATAACTTAAATAATTCATAACAATGGAAATCTTTGGATGTGAATATCTCCTAAACAAAGCGTTTGCGGACCTACCTTCAGGAGAAATTTTTTTCTTGTTTTGAGTTCCTTAGTTTCAGTTTGGCCACTCAACCCTGAAACACCCTGTGTATTATATGGTCGGGAATTTTAGAAAACCTTGAAGTGTGAAATGAAGAAACGTTCGGAAATTTTAATTTTGTGGAACATAGAGAGAATTATTATTTTTAATATATATTGTAAATACCTTAATCAGCAATTTTCTCCTCCCTTAATCGCGATTATATATAATATATTACATAGAACAAAATTTGACAATATATTTTTTTTTTCAGGTTCAGGTAGAAGTTAACTATATCTTTGAAAAACATTCAGATGAAACTTATCCAGGAAAGTGCCGTTATTATTAACGTTTTCTTTCAAAACGGTTTAATCAGCTTCAAACAATGCATAACAAACTAAATTGAATCAGCTTGCATTCGCTAATCTAAGAAATCTCATATCATTTTTGTTTAAGGTGTAATTTTAAATTTAATTTTTATACAAAACTACTTTTTAATTAACATTCTAATTGACTAACATATATTATTTGGTTATGGGTAATGGGTTTATCTTTTTACTTTTGACAATATTTTTAATGCATGTTATTGAACTACTTACTTACAAATTTACAAAATTATTAATATTTTGGTGAATTTTTATTTAACGAAAAACGTATAAATAAGAAGTACAGAGACCATAAAGAGAAGTAATGGGATAAACGTCAATTCTACCTAACTTTATTACTATTTTATAATAAGTAAGAACAATTGAAAATTAATATATTCCTGAACTCTTCTTATTTTTTCTCGTTTTTGGGTGGAATCAGAATAACAGGGTTTCTGCACGTAACTTTAATCTAAAAATTTATTGGACTTAAAAAAAATATATATTTTGCATAAAGCTGTAGCATAAATGTAATGTTAAAATAATTAGTTTGACCGAAGGAGTAAAAAGGGTCAAATATTCGTTTAAGAATAAATAAAGTTAAGATTTGTATTTCGCACCTCGAAAAACATTCAACTAGGAATTTTCATAGAAATCAGAAAATATATTTTTTTAGCTTACAGTTTATCTTTCGAAAATTAAAAAAAAAATGTAATAACTTTATTCCATCTTTCATGAAGGAAATTACCAGCGATTTATACCTCTGTAAACTACACGAAATATCACAAACTTGACCCCGATATAAATAGTGGAACTGGAGATATAAATTAAAAACGTTTGAAGAGTTTTCTTTATTTATTCCTTATAAAGGATTGAAATCTAAACGTTATTGATATGGTTTGAGAAATCAATTATTCAGCTTTCCAATAGTAGTAGTAAAGTAGAAAATTCTGAATTAAGAGAAAATCCTGAGGAGCTATGAATGCTTAACGGCAAAATAAAAAGCAAGAACAACATTTTTAACATACAATCAAGTCCAAAAATTTATATTTTTCATTTCAAAACAAATTCATGCTTAAAAGAGTTTTTAAGAACGCTAAAAATTAATATAAATATATTTTTCATGAATACAATTTAATTGGCCTACATTACTAGAAGCGCCATTTTCTTTTTTACATACATTATACATTAATAATTCTAATTAATTTAATACGCTCAGCAATACGTTTTGTTATTTTACAAAAAAAAAAAAAAAATTGATATATTTTTTGATGATAAAAAATCTTGCAGAGTAAAGATAGAAATCAATTATATGAAAAATGTTGAAAAAACAGCCATATGTGAATATGGGTGAAATATTATTCGACCTAGTATTATCAAAAATGTTTCGTTAAACGGGTAATCCCACGTCCGTAACCTCCCTTTGTAAGTGAAGAATGTTTATTTAACAGTTACTATTATTAAGTTATCAAAAGCAAACAACAGTTCAAAAATAAACGATTGCGTCCCCAAATTTCTCTAACGTTTTCTTCTGAAAATAGTACTTTATTTTTAATCAAATCAAAGAGATTTTCCTGTGGCACTCACAATATCTTTTATAAGGAGGCTTCTACAAAAATGTGTCGAAGAAATATGTTGATGACCTTCTTCTTTCACCATTATTCCAGTAGTATATTATTTATATTGTACTGGATTGCAGTGATACTAACATTAATGCGGTACTGAACATTTAAAAAATTATTTTATACTTAATATATCATTAAAATTATTATCTTAGTTTTTTTATTGTTTTTTTTTTCAGGTATCAATTCACACAGACTCTATATCGTGCCTGGTTCTATTCACTCTTCTACATTATTTCCTTTTGACCAACTTTTTCTGGATGTTTGTGGAAGGTAAAGAAATTTGTTTATTTTAACTTACAAATTTATTATGAAATTTCGTTTTCTTATTGTATCTCTAGAGTAAGTGTTCTTAATAAACGAGGTTGAATGAAAAAACGTACTATGTGGTGCGCAAAGTAGGAAAAAAAAGAAAAGGTTATGAATAAAAATCTTTTACCCACGTTTAATGAGTGATGACAATTTTCTTACTTTCAATTATCTAAATATGTAATATATAGTAAGTGTAAGTATTGCGATCGTGAAACTTTTTGAATCGGAGTTTTCAACGGAAATACACGTTTTGAGGTCCTCTGAGTCCAAATATTCAAGTCCCGAAAACTGGCCTGTGTGTCTATGTGCATGTGAACAGTCTAGCTCAAAAACCAAAAGTCATACGAAACTCATATTACGTATTTAAGACAGGTATATGCCTTAGATACGACAGAAACTTTTTCCGTAAAATCGGCTTACCGGAAGTGCCACTTTATCTCAACGCTGAAACAAAGTTTTAGAATTTTCTCAAAAATGGCTTTGACGATTTTGATTAAACTCGGTGCATCAATGTATTATGAAGTGATCTTTAATATCAATCAGGTTTTATCTCCATTGATGTCACTTTACAGGGCTTAAATGCCCAATGTTCATATATATATATATATATATATATATATATATATCTTCCTCTAAAGTACCTTTAATATGGTTTATTTTAAATAATTAATCATCTCACATTATTTAGAATTAAGAAAAAGTGCTAAATATAACTTTTGAAAGAATTTGATAATTGTCTTAAATGTGACAGCAATTTTTTCCTTGAAATCGGGTAACCGGAAGTACCGCTTTATACAAACGGTGAAACACATTTTTACAATTTTCTCAAAAATGGAAACATAGTTTATTTTAAAAAAAATAACTCTATTTTATTGACAGTGGCTATAAAAAATGGCTAAATATGAAGTTTGAAAGAATAAGATAATTGGAAACTCGAGAAAAAAAAGAAACATGGCCAATGCCATTGTTTAAAATACTATTTCATTGTACTTGTATGAAAGAAGAAGTGAAATATAAAAATGTTTCTAACCTCAAACTTATATTTACTATAGTTTCATAACTCGAGATAAGATATTATATTTAAATAATTAGGTATCTATCGGTCGTTTATTCCGAAAAATCATCAAATAACCAATTTCAGCATTTTTTAATATTAATTTTAGTAATGTTTCTAGTGGCAACATTTATACCTTTATTCACAGTTCTATATTTTAATACTGCAATCACTTACTCTGGAATCAACTTACTAAATGTTTGTATAGATATAACTTTTTCAACTAGAAATATCACTAAAATGACATTACTCAAAAATGTTGAAATTGGAGTTAGTCATTCTGTTAACTAAAAGGCTCAGAGAGTGAATTTGTGTGGTTTGTAAAAGCAGATGGAGTGACTAGGTTTTTATTGCCTACCGTCGACATAATAAATAGACTTTTTCTAATTTTAATGGTCTTGATGATTTATTGCCTGTAAGCTTTAAGCTTTAGCTCCGTTTAAAATGCACTTCGACAATTTTATAATAGCCCAACATTGCCAGAAAATAATTTCTATTGAAAGGAGAGCGGTAAGTGAAAGTTGTATACTGCGCGCATCAGATTTTTTTGCCTGCATTGTTCTGCAATTCTGCATTGTTTTGCCATAACAAAAATTGTCTTGGCCTCTTTTATTGGAAGCGTCTTTTGAAAGAACCCTCGGACACGGTCAAACGTTTTTCGACCTAGTATCACCAAAAAAAATTTTATTGAAATCGTTGATCCCACGTACATGACTTCCCTTTTTTCGTATAATTGTAGTAACATTTATAATACGGGGGTCTCAATCTCAACGTTTGGGTTCTTTAAACCTGCAGCCCTTTTTGATTTGTTTATAGCGCTAATATTTTTATGTGAAGTGAGATGGCATTAGAAAAGTATCTTTTGAGGATTCATTTTTTTTTTTTTTTTTTTTACTATACTTTACACCTTTCAGATAAATTCAATTTAGAAAACATGATAAAATTTAAAAACAAAACATGAGATAGAATTATAGCAGTTCGATTGATTTTAAAAATCCTCTTCAATTTTCTGAGGTATGTATTAATAAAACAATTAAATTATTTTTAAATATTTTTCCAAACAAACATGGGAGGAAAACATGCCCTTTGTTACGGAGGTTTTCACAATTTTTTTTACTCTCACTTACCGATATGTAATATATAGTAATCTGAGTTTTAAATGGTAATACACGTTTTGAGGTACCCTGAGTCCAAATAACCAACTCTCGAAAATGTATGTGAATGCATGGTGTGTTTGTGAACACTAGCTCAAAACCGAAAAGTCGTAAGAAACTGATATTACGTATTTAAGATAGGTATATGCCTTAGATGTGACAGCTACTTTTTCCGTAAAATCGACTTACCGGAAGTGCCACTTTATAATCAACGCTGAAACAAATTTTTAGAATTTTCTCAAAAATGGATGTGATGATTTTGATTAAACTCGGTGCATCATTGTATTATGAAGTGATCTTTAATATCAATCAGGTTTTATCTCCATTGATGTCACTTTACAGGGCTTAAATGCCCAATGTTCATATATATATATATATATATATATATATATATATATATATATATCTTCCTCTAAAGTACCTTTCATATGGTTTATTTTAAATAATTAATCGTCTCACATTATTTAGAATTAAGAAAAAGTGCTAAATATAACTTTTGAAAGGATTTGATAATTGAATAGAGGAGAAAAAAATAAAAATGTTTATCCAGATCGAAAATGAATCTGCGGAAATACTAGTCAAAAGGTATACGTTTAATATATCGTTGGAAAGCAGAGAATTTATAAAAAACAATATATAATGTAGAAAGTAGTAGATGGTAACAGAGAGTGGCGAAAAAATTATAAATACCAATTTTTGAAAATAATATTATTTAACGTTAATCATATGTTTTCAAGGAATTTAAATGACATTTATTAACTAAATCAGCTAATCTACAAATCTGTTAATTGCCACTACCATGACAGGTGCGGATGAAGAATTGAAGAAAAAAAAAATTAACTAAATGTAAACTTTTAAAATATTTTTAAGTTTGAAAAAAGTATTTAAAATCCACCTATTCAAGGCAATACCATTGTTATAGTTGAAGTTATGAAACATGCTAAATATAATTCTTTAAAGAATTTGATAATTGAATATAGGAGGAAAAAAGAAAAATACATGGATAAGCTCGGTTATAAATGCAATACAAAATTTTATAATAGCTCAACATGGCCAGAATTATTTCTATTCAAAGTTGAACGGTAAGGGAAAGTTGTGTGTTGCGCGCACCAGACTTTTAAAAATATTATTAGCCAATTTCTGGCAAACATATACTGTTTCTGTTTTCAAAATAAATTTCGCACTCAAGATATTAAATAATTGGAAGGAAAACACAGAATTCACTTTGTTACTATCGAGCTTGTTTTTCGGCCTTCTCTGTTCTTTCGGTTGTCCAAAGCCGCCCTCATTCCCAGATATGAGAGGACATTGTGGACATCCCAGACATAAAAGACTTGGCGGAAACAAATGTAGGCGGCTCTGCCCCGCAGCTGATTGGATGGGGACCTTGAAGGAAAACACCTATTTGATTAAACCTAAAAGTTCTGCTCTCTCCCGCAAGGAAAACTAATACTGCGTCGTCCGGGCTCTGGGTAAACAGATACCACCCAGATAGAAGATATGGTAATATAGTATACAAATAAATATTTGTCAACGTAAAAGATTAAAGTAAATTATAATTTTTAATGTATAATAACAAATACTTATTAAGAAAGTGGAATAAGTTTTATTAGGGAGTTCCATAAGTTTCTTATATTTTTTTTTATTTGTTGTTTAAGGTTTAACCTTTTTCTATCTCTCGGGATGCATCTTATTCCCGTTGACTTTGTTGAGAATTGTAGAGACTTACTTGCAAAATATTCATCGAGGTGCGTTTTTATATCGCTTTCGGATTAATGACATTTATCACAAAGAGACTTTTTTTAACGAAAGAAACAAGCAATAATCGGATTGGACAAGATCTAGAGCAGTGGACGGCTTCAGAGCCGCATGTGGCTCTTTGGCTCTTTAAGTGCGGCTCTGGCACAAATATCCACAGAAGGCGCGCAATAATATTTTCATTAAAAAAAAAAAACTATGTAAGAAAATAATTACATCTTATTTTGATAAATTAAAATTCTTTTGTAAATCGAGAACATGTATAATTTTTTGTTTAAGTTAAAAGATAGATAGGTAATTAAAATGTTTATATTATTGTAAAAATACGTAACGAACATCGAGATTAATTTTATTAGTTTTCGTAATTGTAAACACACACCATGTACAAGCTACCGGCTGAAATTGTTCGTATAGTTAAGGAATGGACTTAATCCGTAACAAATATTAATAATGATAATATTAATTTACCTTCTATTAATATATAACTTAATATTTAATATGCCAATCATAAAAGAACAAAGCCCTAGATAGCCAGGTCAAGCTATCTCTGATAGCTTAGAAAACTGACAGGACAGAAGGCATTTATCAAGACATAGGGAACAATAACCAATTTCAGCTAAAGAGTACTTTCTTACAGACTTCATATCAATTCTAAAAGATAAGGATATCAATATAGTTATAACTTCATTCACACGCTTCCTAGACCGTCCAGAATTGATTCATCCCCCCTATTATTCCTGAGCATATAACCCCCATCCTTCTAAGACCAAATCACTCATGTAGTTTATTCTTTTGATGTCATATTGATACTCCTACTCCAGGAGACCTGGAGTGAACTTACGTAGTCAACTCATATATCCATAGTATATTATTCTGTATTTTAGATGTCATATGTAACATTATGAATAAAACCATTATTTATAAAGTCTCCACTGCCTCCGATTCGTTAACTGTATGTTTTCGGCGTACTCCGGTGTGATACGAAGGTACCACAAGCATGCGCGGGCATACTTTTTCTTAAGTAGTGGGGTACAAATTGGCATCACAGACCAGCAGTTGCTGTGTGGACAGTTTTGTCTTATCTACCGTATCTGCCGTCGTCCTGTCTTTTCAATTAATTAAATAAAGCTGATAAATAATGATTAATCAATCATTATTAATAAAGCATTTATCAGCTGCAGAGCAACTTTAGCATTTGTCAAATATCCTCTTAATGCCACGATGACCGAGTTCAAATTTTCTCCTTTTGAAATTGACATTATTAGCTTTGAAATAAAATTGCTGGATTTAAAAAACAAGGAGATGTGGCACTCAAAATTCGAACGTCTTTGTGTTGAATTGGAAATATTGGAGAAGAAAAAATGTGATCTTAGTTCACAACAAAAGTGGTCTGCTTTGAATGGCCTGTAGAAGGAAGACATGATCATTTTCAACGCTTGGAATAGTATTCTTAGGTTATAATTACCCGGGAAAAAACGATAGTAAAAAAAATTAAAAGGGAGTACTTTTCAACCTTTCTTTTATGATAGGTTTTGCAGTATTTCCATAGATTGTTCTTAATTCTGACATTCATTGTACATTATTGGAAAACTGAGATATTCGCATTTATCAACTCTCCGGAAGATTTCTTTTCTTCACAGATCCTGTTATTGGACAGCAATTTGCAACCAGTTAATTTGGTTGTCTGTTTTGGCAACCTCCCATCGCGAGATACAGATTAACTTACCAGATCTCTTGGCCACCGCCAAGGTAATCTTCGTGGTGAGTTATTGGGGTTCAATTCCTTATAAGCTTTAGAACTTCTATTAGTGGATTGAGGTTGTTAGTGATTGGTGAAAGTTATTGTATTTTTCTTTTGCAAATTGTCGGAAAGTCTAAGACCATTTGTATTACATCCTTCGCTGCACGATGTGTAAACTATTTTTCATAATACTTTTGAATGAGACGGTTGATTTATTTTAATGTAGATGTTTGAGCAGTACCCCATGGTATAGCCTAAGTCTAAACTGGTTTTATTTGAATTTTATAGAAGGCTAGTTTGTTATTTAAAGATAATTTTGAAATTTTATCAATTAACCCAGGATAAAAGACAATAGGGTTTAATTTTATTAATTTTGCCAATCCAATATCCTGTTGTTTTTTTTTATAAATGATTTATTATTTTATATTTTCATGACAACAATATTTACAATTGATGCGAGCAAGTACCATTGTGAAATACTTCATTAAAATATATTTTTGGAGCTAGGTTTGCGATTAAGCGTGAATACTACGTATACATTCGGAAAATCGGACGACGAAATTATAAAAATCGGACGAATTGTTCCTTCAACGAACGCAGTGTTCACTGCGGAGCATTTGTGGAGAGGCCTTGTTCCCAAAACCCGTCTCCATCCTATGTTCTTTACCAATAAATTATTCCATCTTTGAATCTTTAAGGAACATAAAGGAATATATGAAATAAACAATTACATTTAAACATTTTGCAAGTCCAAATAAAATTAGAATTAGTTCTTAGTTCTCCGAGAATAAAGAGTTTTAAGTAATTTAATTAACACAGTATTCGCTCAAACACCGGAAAGATAACAATTTCATTTATCCTTCTTAAAACACTAAAAAACTTAAAAATCAATATATTTCTTAACCATTTAATTATTTTATATAATGATTTCCTAATAGAACCAGCTGCTTTAAGATCCGAGATAAGAAGTCTTAATGAGAAAAGTTTCCAGTTGTGAGAAGTGTCACTTAAAGGTCCTTAATTAGTCCCTTTAAAGTTTTATTAATCACTTCACAATCGAGAGGGATTTAAAAAACAATTATTGATTACGTTGCTAAAAGACTTTAAATATAACTCTGTTTGTGAGCAATTGGCGCTCTTTATGCAAGAACAGAAGCTAGCAATTGTCGGATGCTGAAAGATATTGTAATTTAGTCTGAAGAAACATTTTCATAGCAGATTTAATAAGATAGCTTTAGCAGATTTCAAGAAAGCTTTAATATGTATAGTTTTATAATGTTTTTATTAATTGAACACAATTAAGCAACATTTTTAAAACGGAAATGTGTAGCTGAATCAGGAAATATCTCGCCAGACAAATATTTTTGTTTTTGTTTTACTCCTTCCAGATACTGAAGCATATAACTTGTAAAATAGTTTATTTCATTCTTGAGAATATGTTCAAGAGTCTGACAGGTAATCTGATTTTTTTTTATTTTATTGAACTGTATATTGTTGGGTTGAAGAAAAAAAGAGAAATTAAAAATTTGATAAAAACAAATGTCTTAAACAGCACGAGAATGTTTTGTAAGAAAATGATGTTCCTATTTATTTACACCTGTGTTGTTGAAATTTTCAGATTATAACCTAACATCGATTTGTTAGGTTAATATCGATCTTGATGAATTTTTACTTGTTTCATTAATATTAATGTAACAAAATCAGATTGTCAGGAAACACGTGGATTGGGTTATTTTATTAAATTAAAATTGGTCAATGAAATTGTTTCAAATATTTTATTTTTTGTTTTTTTTTCCATTACATTTGCCACTGCGTTGTAACGCATCAAACAAATGTGTTGGAGTTTATTATATCTTCTAGAATTCTTGATATTTTCTTAACTGTTCAGCAGAAACCCAGGCCACTGCCTTTTTATTCGTCTTTGAGGCTCTCCAGGTAACAGGGAGGAAGATAGAGATAGAACGAGTGGATTTGGATGATTGAGAGTAGAAGAGTGAAATGTTGTGTACTTGTTGTGTATGTAGGATTTTACTTTTGGTATGTTCATGTCTGTGTGTATTGTGTGATTTTGAAGGAGCATTGACGATTTTAGAATAAAATAGAATAGAAAAATAACTTTATTCTGGGACACAGTCCCTTGAGAATAACAAAATAGAAAAAAATTAAAAGATTACATCTGGCCAAAATAAAATCAATCGAAAAAAAGAAATAATGTAAAAAATATATAAGGTAAAAATTCTATATACAATACAAACGAAACTATATACAAAACAATTAATACTATGACAAGACACTTAAAGCTATTTGCACTGATAGACCAGTATACACTTTTAAGAAAATAATAAAGAATTAAAAAATAAAAATGTATCAAATTCTTTATTAAAATCAGCTCGAATGGTTAGCAACTCTCTGACTGTTTTTAGGATAGGAATTGGAATAGGAGGGTTTTGAATGTGGATATGGATGGGGAACTGGACTGAGGATTTGAACTGGAGAAGGTTTTAGGCGTAAGAAGGACGATGTTTGTTGATGAAATTGGTTGTAGAGGAACGTAGCTAGGAAATATTGTCTTCGGAAGGAGGGGAAAAGCCACTTTAACTCAGCGTAGTGGTGAGAAATATGGGAGTGTCTTAGGGCCCCTATCACAAATTTTACTCAACTGTTCATTAGTAGTTCATTTTACGAAGTTTTTTGGATTGTGTGATTTTAATTTTGTTTTGTTTTTGTGTTTTGAGGAACATTTTCGGAACGGAAAGTTCTGCTCCGTATGTCCAAGTAGGTCTTAGTATAGTGGTGTAGATTAGTCGCTTGTTTAGTAAGCTGAGTGGAGATCTGGTGTCCAAAAATATTATTATTATTTCACGGCACTATAAGCCAGTTACAGGTCTTGGACTCCTTCAACTGTTTCCTCCAATCTTCACGGTCTTTCGTCGACGCCATCCAATCTCTAACTCTCAGAGCATGCTGCGTTCGTTTCCCGTGTGACCCACCATCCGACCATCTCAGCCTTTGTCTCCCTCTTCTCCTTATTCCATGGATTGACTTTGTAAGCAATATTTTAGACATTTCTCCATCCGCCATCCTGGCACAGTATGCCCTACATATCTTAAGCGCCTCAACTCCATTGCTTTTACGTCAGCTTCTCGGAAAGCATTGTACAGCTTCTGGTTCGAACGCCGATTGCACTCTTTTCCAACTTTAACCTCTCCCACCCTCTCTTCCCAAAAAACAAACACTGCGGAGAACTTTTCATTAAAAAATAAAGAGTGTAAATCAAAAATAATAATTAATTTTTATTTCAAAAATACATTTTAAATATAGTTAATTTTAATTACAATTTCATTGTTACAGGATTGTACCTATATATGCTGGTTGTGGAGACTTTCACCAGAGAAAATATTGGACTACGTGCTTACCTAGCTATAGGGTGGGGTGAGTTAGTATTCAAAAAATTGCTTAAACTAATATTTATTACTAGTAGGCCCGTGCGAAAAATTCGCACAGCATATTGTTAAGTGATCAAATGCCAAATAAATAAGCAAAGAAAACAATTCAACGTATCAAAAGATGAAGAAATCAATTGTTACTTTATCGATAAATACAATCGACAAAGCAAACAAAAATTAATTTAAAACTTCATTAATGTTTGGAACCAAAACATTTACAAATTTCAATAAGCTGTATCTTTGCTAAAAATTGTCTGATTTCGACGATTTTTTTTTTCTTCCTTTTGTAGGGAATTTAGTAATATTTTATATAATCATGAGAATAACCAAGAGAAAAGTGCGTAATGTTTTAGTTATTCGCAAATAAAGTTTCTTTTCTTCATAACTTGTTTGCCTGAATTTTCGGGGTAATTGAACTATTTTGTCCGCCTGAAGCCTTCAATATTGGTGATGACATGGATTGCCGATCAAAATTACCATCGACCAATAATATAAATTCCTTCTCACTCGATCATAGAGGCTTCAAGTCGACGAAATGACATGTATGCAATGACAGTACTACTATTAACGTAAGGTTGTGTGGATGCGAACCATATGCTTTGCGTTATCTCGAAAATAGTAGGTTTTGAGGCTTAAAAACGCAGGACCCGATAGTTCCGAAGAAACTATCCGCGTCTTACTGTATGCATCAAAATCTTCAAAGCCCAATTTGTCCCGTATCTATCTACAGACTTACCACAGTTCCAGTATTGAAGCCTAGCAAAATGTTCGTGTCGACTTTATTTATTGTAGAACAAAAAAAAAGTGGAGAATACGATTCGCCAATCCCCCGTGAAATTCTGAATCCAACGGTACCCCATTCATGGTATTTGAGCATGAAAGGAGCTTATATTTGGTACAAAACAGATCTCGAGCCTTACTGTAATAATAATATATGTGGGGATTATCACTAAAATATTATGTATAATGAAATTTATTTCATATACTCATAGATCCAAAATTTAGTGATTAAGAATTTTACTGAATTAAATTATTGTGACTAATATTGAAAGAAGACTAATTTTTTTTTTCTTTAGAACTATAGAGCAATAATAATAAGCTTAATAACTGTTGAGTAGAAGAGAAACCATTCAAATAACTTTGATCTACAATAATCTTATCGAATGATCAACGGCAGGAAATAAATCAGTACATAACAAGAGTCAAATATTTAAAAAAAAAACTTCTCTTTTTCAAAAGTATTTAATTTCTTAAACTAAGGGTGTGAAACTCTATGACAAAGTCATTTCTGATATAGGACTGGAAGACCTGGACACTAACCAGCACCCTTGAAAGGATTATTGAAAGACGTGAGAAAAATTCTAAGCATGATAACCGGAACGATCTAGGATCGGAATTCTAACAAATGGAGGGGAAAGGCTAATCAATAGCTGCAGAAACTAATCAATCAATATCTCGTGATATGAAGAGAAGGAGATTAAGATGGGCGAGACATGTAGCTCGGAGCAATCCATCTGGAAGCCTTTAGACAACAATGAATGACTCAATAGTAGGCAAATGACCTCGCGAAAGGCCAAAACGTAGATGGATAGATAGAATCAACAAATATGCAATAGAGCTGCGTGAAAATAACTGGAAAGAAGCAGCCCAAGATAGGCAAAGATGGAGAAGGCTGGTTAAGGCAGCAAAAGATCTACAAGGTTCGTAATGTCAACAGAAAAAAAATATTCAGTATTTTTTGTTTAAATCTTTATCATTATTATCTAATTCAGTGAAACTAATGGAAGTGTCATGATGGACAAATATGAGTAAAATATGAGTAAATTTAGTGATTTTTGTTATTATGTTGTTTTAAATTTAAAACTATTTACAAATAAACTTTTCATACGATATAATGTGACAGTGAGATATTAAACTAATTAGTTCTATGATGCTTTTATATAGCAATATAATTAATTTTAAGTTATACAAGAACCCCCCCAACAGACTGAAACGACTAGAAACCGCCCGACGTTTTCGACTACTGCAGCACTTACTAGACAAACACTCTAAGCTTTCAATCAATTACAAACGACTCATATATATGACGATAATAACACCTATTTGGACTTACGGAATTGAGCTTTGGGGCTCCACTAAACCATCGAATTCCTCTCGTATCCAATCCTTACAATCCAAAATCCTTCGTAAAATCCTCAACGCTCCTTACTTTGTCACAAATAAAATCATCCATAAAGACCTTAATGTTCCATATGTTTCCGATTTGGCCCAATCCAGATATCTATCCTTCCATAACAAACTGCAGAACCATCCGAATCCTCTCGTTTCAAACCTTGCTTCCTCCTCGTTCCCTGATATTCCTCCGAGGCGTCTGAGAAGAAGATGGCCTCGGGACCTTCTAATATAGAACTTTAATTTGAGTTCTACCAATGGGTAGTTTCTCTTCATGTTGCACATGTCATGTTACCAATGTCACATTTACTTGTTGTATTTTTCATGTAATACAGTTGTAAATTTCATTTTAAAAAAATGGTATACAAGAAAAACACAGTGTAGAATGTCTGATTTTTCTGATCTGATAATGATGGTTGTTCAAGCAGTGCGGTGAATGCACAGCTTTCCGATGCCAAAAAACTTCGATTTTTATATCCACCAAAAGTCTATCAGTTAAAAATAATTGTTGCTGGGCAAGTGAAGCCCGGCTTTAGGACTAGATCGAAAGATATATCAGTTTCGAATTCCCTCAATTTTCAAGATAAAAAAAAATAGAACAAATAAAAAAAAAAACTAAAAGCGGGATGGTGGTCCCAGTGGATTAAGTTGTTAACATTGTACCACCATCTGCGAAAACTTTATCCCCGGAAATTATGACCTTAAAACGACTGATACATTTCTTCTCTGTCGATAACAGAGCGTTTGTTGAATTATTTCCTACTTATTAATAATATCCGTAGGGCTTAATTTTTTACTAATAAGTGTTGTTTGTATTGTCAGTTAGTCACCGATTTCATTCAATTTTTTTTTCGGTGATACAACATCGAAAAATATTAGGCACATACTCCGGCGTATGTTTTAATGGGCCTTTGGAGCCGAGAAAAAATAGTTTGTATAATTTCAAACAAAATTTATGTTACTTACTTCTCCCTTAGCTTTGTCCGTATTTTTAGATTATTATGTACAAATCTATTTATTTTTTTCCTCAGAACAAGAGCAAATTATTGACATCTTATCTATTTAAAAAAAATATTTATTCCCACAGTTGAGGACAGGATGGCCGAGCACGATTCGGCTTGGATTTTAGAATGAACACTTCTAAACGTTGTGGGTTCGATTCACACCTGGAGGGTCGGTTAATTTTCATTTCTCGGCGGCCCGAGGAAATAAATCTTGACATTCCTACTCCGGTAAGTACTTGGCAGCAACCTCAAGGTAGTCGTCAGTGATTGGCAATAAGGACGGACCATGTAGCCCACACGCCGGACTAGTTACTCCCACCAATACCAATATCAGTACTGGTACCCTTAGAGTGCTACGTCGGTTGGTCCGCATTGTTATAATACTATAGTTGTAGTTGGCTGTATCCAAATATATTATTTAGAAACCGGTTCAGTATCCAGAGTGAATATATTTTTCAGTAACTAGATTGAATATTTTTTTAGGAAGAAACAAAGTTGATATTTATTTTTGCACTTCAAAAAGCAAATACGAATTTTTATAGCAATTGAAAATTTAAAAAATTAAATTATTTTCTACATATTTTTGCCTAAAGTGCCTTCTACGAAACTTATTCAACAATCACAAAAAATGTTATAACTCCTGGACGACTCCAACGATTCACAAGAAAATTATTAAAGATTTAGGACTCAAGTTAAACCAAAAGGAACAAACTCTACCTACATAAAGAAATTATAACAAATAAAATAAAATAAAAATGTTAGAAAAGTTTTCTTAATTTTACTTTCACTTAGATATATCTTTTGTAGTATATATCTTGCAGTTCTGGCAATGGCCAGATTCTCCACTCAAGACATGAGTGTATGTGGCTATAGCGCCCTCGCTCAAATTCCACTGGCTCTAGCACCAGTGACGCGGTTGAGAGAGCAGCACAGGGATCTCTTGGAGTCCTGCTTTTCCTTCTCTAGTTGGGGGAGAAGCCTGGCTTGGGGTTCCCTGCCTAATTGTATATACTTACATATATATGAAATATATAGTAAGGTAAAGTATTGTGATACGTGAAAATTTTCGAATTCGAGTTTTCAAAGGAAATAGACGTTTTGAAGTATCCTGAATCCAAATAATCAAATTCCGCAAAATGGTCTGTATGTCTGTGTGTATGTGAACAGCCAAGCTCAAAAACGAAAATTCATACGAAACTTGAGTATTTGAGCCTTTTATAAAATTCCATTTTGACAGCAACTTTTTCGGCTAAAAATCGGCTAACAGGTAGTGCCACTTTATATCAACGGTGAAACACATTTTTAAAATTTTCTTAAAATCGGCGTGTCATTGTATAATTAAGTGTTCTTTAATAGCATTTAAGTATTAACCCCCTCGATGTCACTTTACAAAACTTAAATGTCCATTGTTTATATACTTCTTCCTCTAAAGTATCTTTTTTGCATTTATTACCCATCGTTACTTTTAAATCTTCAACTAAAAGCGCAAATAATGTATATATTTGATTCGAATACATTCCTTATTATGTTTATTTATGTATACATAAATAGTACATAACTTTTAGTACAGTTTTGGCACGTTAAATTTCAGTAGTATCCCCAGACGTCTAGATAAACCGAAAGAAGGTGAGGCAATTTATGAATTCAATATTTAATTCATAAACTGCCTCACCTTCTTCCGGTTTATTCATAAAAAATCAGAGAAATCAGGGAAAACCATTCATAATTACTTGTATCTTCTGACCCATGTTTATCTTCCCTTAAAAAAAAAACACAAATATAATAGACAAAAGAATCAAAAATTCCTTAT